AGCCAGGAGTGGCCGACCAGCAACTGACGAGCATTTAATACCATTAAGACATGATTGATGAGACGTTTCGTTCATTTTGTCGTTTCTGACGCGGAGTATCGAGGTGAGAATCGGAAGCTCATATCGTTTCTCGTCGATTACTCTCCGAAAAATGAGGGGACTATTTGTATATGGTCAAAATCGGGCTCGATTATTACATGACAGATCGGACTCGGAACACGAGGGGTTGAAGATCGACCCCGAGTTTCGTCGAACCAGAACACGAGGTCAGAATGTCCGTCCTCAAGAACATTGAGTCCATGATCCCGAAATCGACCCTGACCCCGATTAAGCTTGAGAAAATACTTCCGATATAACCAACAGAAGACCGGAATAACAGAAGTCTGAAACATTCGTAACCGGTCAGATATCACGGCGGGAATCTCGGCACATATCGATAGGGAACCGACAAATCAGCAAACCAGGAAATGTTTACCTTTTTATAGAATTGTACCTAAAATATGGCTCTCCTACTATATAAAGGGGGTCTGATTACTTGTAAAGGACACGACAACATGCATCCCAAAGCAATATATTATTATTTTTAGTTCTTATTATTCTCTTGTCATTCCATTCTGATATCGATAAAAACTCTTTCGGCTCAAGGGTGGCTAACCTTCCAAGGCTAATTGTTCAACTTGTGTAGTTTGCATTTACTTTCCCAATGCTTATTTCAATTTCAATCTGATTTATTATTTTGTATCAAATTAGATAACGTATCCTTAAAACCACGTACAAATTTAATTGTTATCCGATTTTGAGGATAAACAGAATGAAGTCTTTAATATGTTTGATTACATGACTTGATTTATGTTGGAGAAATATGATTCTTCAACTGTGAGGTTTTCTTTGCTAAGTGAAATCTTTTAAGTTGATTTCTTTTTCTACTTGCAATAGAGAAGGGAGAGACATATCCATATAAAGGAGATCATAAAATTACCTATGAAGACTGAAATTGAAAAGATGCTCTTAGTGGTCAGTTTCTCAAAGCAAATCATGTTTTTCATGCAATTTCTGATTTAAGTATCTTGAAATGAGTACGAATTTCCATTCCTTTACACCATAATGTCAATTTTTTGGCGTTAAAGTAAATTTTTGGCTTAGACGATGTAATGGTCTTTATCTCTGACAAAGTAAAAATCTTTGGCTTAGACAGTGTAATGGTCTATACCTCAAATAAAGTGAAGATAAATCTTCAGACAAAATAAAAATCTTTGGTTTAGATGGTGTAATAGTCTTTGCCTCAAATAAAGTAAAGTCAAATTTTCAAAAAAAAAAGAAGATCTTTGGCTTAGACGGTGTAATGGTCTTCGCCTCAGATAAAATAAAGTCAAATCTGTAAATAAAAAAAGATCTTTGGCTTAGACGGTGTAATGATCTTCACCTTAGACAAAGTAAAATCTTTGGCTCAGACGGTGTAATGGTCTTTACCTTAGATAAAGTAAAGTCAAATTTGTAAATAAAGTAAAATCTTTGGCTCAGACGGTGTAATGGTCTTCACCTAAGACAAAGTAAATTTTTGGCTCAGATGATGTAATGATCTTCACCTCACACAAAGTAAAATCTTTGGCTCAGACGATGTATTGGTCTTCGCCTCAGATAAAGTAAAGTCAAATCTTTTAAAAAAAAAGGATCTTTGGCTTAGACGGTATAATGGTATTCGGCTCAGATAAAATAAATATTTAGCTTAGACTGTGTAATCATCTTCGCCTGAAAAAAAATAAGTCTTGTGCTTGAGATGGTGTAAAGTCTTTGCCTAGTTAAAAGTAATTCCATCATCTTGTATAAAGGGACAGCCAGGTTAAAGGTGATACTTGTGGTTCAAGCTGCTACAAGAGCAGTTAGACTTCTAATGCAATACAAATTGTTCTCCCCTAGACGATTTAAAATCGTCCGACTTTATTCAAGAATTACAAAAGATGAAAAAGAATTCAAGCAAAAAAAAAATTCATTTACATACACTGGAATGGACCCCGAGATTTCAAATCAAAGAAAAGCAGCAAAAGCAAATACATAAGCCATAAATAGAACAAATGCTAAAGTTGAGAGTGTACTTGGTTCTATTGGAAGTTGCCATGAACTAAAACAATATTGGCTGCAAAGGTGGTTCAATGATATTCCTCCAAAGTCCGAACAGTTTTATTCCAAAAAAAACGATCAAAACAAATATTGAATGAGCTGTGTCTATTTTTTTCCTTCTGAAAAGAAAACTCTACTGAAAAGTACATGGCAAAGCTAATTTTCTACAGTTGTCATATGCCTTAGCTCTTATGGGTCCTCTCAACAAAAGAAAAGGGACAGTAAAAACAACACAATATGTGCTGCTACTCCAAATAGTAAAGGCATTTTTTTTATAAAAAAAAAAAAGAGAAGAAAGAATATAAGCCGTCAAAGTTACCAAGTCATAAAGTTTTTTTCTAAGAAATTGGCATGTCACTTGGGTGGTTGCAAAAGTTTGCAAGGGAAAATGAATAAAGACAAAAGAAAAAAAAATTGACATGACAAGAATTGACATGTATCACCTCAAGTACATATATAATTCAAAGAAAAGTACAAGATTTGGCATGACATATTCCTCTTATGGAAAAAGCTTTTATCTTCCTACAAAAGAAGAAAAAAAAGCGACTTACTGACAACTACTTTGCAGCAGATATTGTGATTTCCTTTTTCTTCTCTTCTCTCGATTCGTTTCGCGATTTAGATTCAGTTTGGATTCGCTTAAAATAAAAATAGCTTTTAAGCACAAAAATAAATAGTTATCTGTTTGAATAAAAGTGTTGAACCTTAAAAAAAAATTGTTGAATTGTTTGATAAACAAGTGCTAGTAAGCACTTTTTTCTATTAAAAAAATAAAAATACCCTTAAAGCTATCAATATTATAAAGGAGCTGATTACTATAATATATTTAATTATGAATTAATGCAAATAAAAATTAATTTATATTTTAATTTAATTTCAATTCCTTTTCCCTTTAGTTTGGAATACTCAATATAGTATTACTACTAGAGCACCATCATTCTCTCTGTATAGTCAAGCAACCCAAATGGATCAAATCATTAGTAATAAACAATACCAAAGAAAAGACAGAAGAAATCCTCCAAAAATATAACTATAAAATCAACTTTGTCTAAAACAGTATAGAAAGGGGCGTGATGCTTGACGAAAGTGCAGAAAATGGAGATGAAGCAGAGAGGAAGAGGAAAGAAGAGGAAAGGTTGTCTTCAGCAGTGAAGGAAATAGGAGATGTAGATATTTTAGGTTTCTTTTGACTGAGGGTAATTTTGGTATTATGAAAACTTATACTCCCTTTGTTTTAATTTATGTGAACTCATTTGATTGGGTACGGAGTTTAAGAAAAGAGAGAAGACTTTTGAATTTGTGGTGTAAAATGAGTCACATATATTTTGTGTGGCTATAAATCATTATATAAAAGTAAATTGTTTCCAAATAGAGAAAAATATCATTTTTTTTTGGCACAAACTAAAAAAAAAAATAGGTTCACATAAATTGAAACAGAGGGATAATAGACAAGAGAGTAATTTTATTTGTCAAAATAAAATGGCTTTTAAGCCAAAATCGAAAAAGTTGGATCAGCCAACTTGTTGGTTTTTGCTTTTCTTAAGCACATTTTAACTTTTTTTAAGCAGCTTTATTTTTTGCCAAACACTTCATAAAATAAAAAGGTGCTTAAAAGTTTGTTTGACCAGCTTTTAAGTCCGTCCAAACACCCTCTTAGTGTGCTTCAATCAAGGCTCATGGTTCTATTTATAGTTGCTTGAAAGAGTTCTCCTAATCCAGCAAGATGTGCAGTGATTGAAATCTTCTCAAAAGAATAAGATTTTATCTCCTAAAGGATAGGAGAGGATAATAGAGTGGGGAGTTATCAACTGAGATTAGTAGCCTGTTTGGCCAAGCTTCTAAAATCAGTTTATTTCGAGAAGTGCTTTTCTCAAAAGTACTTTTCAAAAAAGTACTTTTGATGAGAAGCAGTTTGGGTTTGACTAATTAATTTGAAAAACACTCTTGAGCAGTAATTAATGTTTGGCCAAGTTTTTAAAACTACTTCTAAGTGCAGAGGCGGACCCAGGATTTGAGCAGGACGGGGGGCACCATTGTCTTAAACATGCCAATTACTAGTGATAAAGTTCAGCGCAACTCTATGAAAACATATATGATAACTTATCAGCAAAATACAAACTTTAATATTATCGAACATCATCAATGTGATACTAATATAACAAAAGTACATCATTTGTTCATACTTAAACTCGACGCGCTTTCATATTTTGAAAACGGTCAATAATAGCATCATTACTTACATGTATAAATACTTCCTTCTCAAAGTAACAAACTAAACAATCATTTAAAAATGTATCACTAATACTACTACGAAATTCATCTTTGATGTACTTCATGGATGAAAATGCTCTTTCCACCATTGCAGTCGCGATAGGTAAAATTAGAGTTAACTTTACAAGTAAATAAACAAGTGAATAACTCTCTGCAAGATTTGCCTCAACCAAGGCTCTTGCCAAATCACCAATTCCTTTCAAATCAGAAAACCTAAGGTCAATACGTCGCATGTGCAATATGAAAGTATCAAGTTGGTGACTAAGATCTCGAAACTTCAATTCGCCAAACTCATCTGGATAATACTTAGCCAATATTATTATTTTTTCCTTAATCAAAATTAACAAATGAATTAACCGGATTCAAGCTAGCCATACCAAGAAGCAAGTTACCACTCACAACATCAAAACGACTGTTAAGCTCCTGAAGTTGCAAATCAATCACAGAATAAAAAAGATCAACACGTAAGTGATGTGAATACGTAACAGTAGAAGGTCTACGCTTTGACTTTTCAGGAATATAGAATTCTTCCATATTGGGTACCACAATATCATGTTTAGCACAAAATGAAGAGACTTCATCCATCAATGACACCCATCCATCTTGTCTTATTACTTGCAACCTCTCAAAGCTTTACTCAACTCGTTCAACATCATCAACACTTTCAACATCAAGTGAAGCAAGAAAACAAAGTCAAATGCATTGGTTTTACTCAAAAATGCTTCTGCTTGTAATCTATCATCAGCCTCAAAACCTTCACATTCAACCACCTCAAGCACATGAACAATAGATGAAAATAAAATAACAAAGTTATCCAATGTTCTACAGTGTGATTCCCAACGAGTGTCACTTGGCCTTTGAAGCCCTCGCTCTTGATTTAATCATTTTCTTCTTTGAAGTTTACCACTCTCTAGTAATTTCTCCAATAATTCTGCTTGATGATCACGAAGTTGATCTCTACGCTTAAAAGATTCTCCAACTACATTCAACACGTTAGCAATTATAGCAAAGAAATTTTCCACCTCCTTATGTTTTTTAGCCACAGCTACAAGTGTCAATTGCAATTGATGCGCAAAATAATGAATACAATATGACGATGGAGTTTGTTCTAAAATTAAAGATTTAAGACCATTCACCTTTCCTTTTATATTACTAGCTCCATCATATCCTTGTCCACGTATTTTGGATGGACTTAATGAGTGTTTCAATAGTAAAGAATACATTGCTTTCTTCAATGACTTTGCAGATGTATCACCAACACGAACAAGACCAATAAATGGCTCATTCACTTGGCCTTTTTTGTCAACATACTGCAAAGCAAGGGCCATTTGTTCATGGTGTGAAATATCCTTAGACTCATCAACTAATATCCCAAAATAATCCCCACCCAAGTCATCAATTATAGCTTTCACAGTTTCTTGTGCACAAACACTAACAATATCCTTTTGAATTTTTGGTGAAGTCATTATATTATTTTTCGAGCATGTTTTAATATAACTTTATCCACATCCGGAAGCTTCTTTGCAAGTCATTCCAATAGCCCTAGAAAAAGGCCTTTATTTTTGGAAGATTCACTTTCATCGTGACCTCGAAAAGACAATCCAAATTTCAAGAGGAACCTTGCAACATCAATTTCGAACCTTGCAAGACATAATCATTCTTGAATAAATAGCAACATAAACAAAATGCCGTATCTTTCTTCACACTATACTACAACCATATAGAGTTTGAATCTTTAAACTAACCCGAACTAAATTGAAGCATTTTCTTTTCGAATAAAGTTTTAGGGAATTTGTAATCAACCGGTTGGCAAGGCCATTGTTTAATGTAGTATTTTCTCACTTCATCTCGTATTCTAAGGCTATATTTATCAATGGGTATTCTCTCTCCGGGGTCGGAATTTAGTGATTCCACATCAAATTCATCGACTAGACGGGAGGAATTCTCTCTAAAACTAGAACTTGGTTGAGAAGAATTAAAACCTCGTCAAAAATACATCCATTTCAAGTTACAAGAACAAGAACTTCCTACAAAACAATGATTCAATTCAATTTAAGTGTCCATCAAGAATAAAAGCAAACTTTCAATAGTGGAATCACACCCCATCTATCAAGAACAACACTAAGAGAATATAACAGAGGAATCACTCAATCACACCCCTTCTATCAAGAAAAAAAAATGCAACATTTAAAATAGAGAAATTACACCCTTTAAAATAGGAACACTTACCAATTTGTGAAATTTTTTATCCTTGAAGTGAAAAGGCTTTTAGTTCAGCAAAACATAATATAATTGATCTTGTCTTGTAATATGCAAACGGCAAACCCTGCAAAAATATTAAAGTTATACTACGACACTTTGTGAATAAAAAATTTTCCATATTCAAGTTATAATAAAGGCTTACTGCTTAGTATAGCTACTATGAGAACACATATTAATTAAATTAAACAAGTTCGAAATTTCACTCCAGTCTATAAAAAAATGCCCCAATTCAAAGTTTTTGTTTGAAAAGAAACACTTCACTGAAAGAATATTTCAAAATAACATTAGCACACAATATTCAAATGCCTACAAAATTAATTTGGCATTTACTTTTTGGCTCTAAGACTCTTTGCATAAAGCAATTTTTTGATACCAAATTATTTTGCTAAGTTAATATTTTCAAAAGAAAACAAAACTTACTCAATAAAATCAAGATTTTACTCAAATAAAATTAAGATTTTACTCAAATAAACTTACTATTTCAGTTGTAGAAGAGCCTCAAACCTAATAGCCGTCGCCGATTCGGACTGCCGGTCATCGGATTCGAGCTCGAGCAGAAGCTAAATAGGGTTAATTGAAAAAAGGATTTTATTTTTTTAGCAGAAGGGTGTAGCGTTTTGTTTGGAGAAGAGAGGTGGGTTTTGTTCTTTAGTTTGGAAAAGCATAAAGGTTAATACTTTAGGTTATAGGGTTAATTGAAAAAAAGAGTTTTGTTTTTTAGCAAAAGGGTGGATTTTGGAGAAGAGATGTGGGTTTGTTCTTTAGTTTAGAAAATGATAAAAGTTAAGACTTTAGGGTGACTATTGTGTATTTGTGTGCAACAGTACAAGTATTAAAGAATTTAAAAAAAAGTAAAAAACAGAAGAAGTGTAGAAATCAAGTTTCGAACTTGGAACCTTCAAGTAACTAAAGTGTTTGAGCAGGCTACAAAACCAACGCGTCTGACTTGTTTTTGTTTATTTAGGGGGCCTGATAAATTATTTAAGGGGTCCTCAGTGTGTATATAAATATATAAAAAATATATTTACAGTATTTTTTCCGAGGCTAACGGGTTCCGGTGACCCCCCTAACTCTAAGGTAGGTCTGCCTCTGTGTAAGTGTATTTTTCTCAAAAGTGTTTCTCAAAAAAGTGCATTTGGAAAGAAACTATTTATTTCTGCTTCTCAAAAACTGCTTCTGCTTCTACTCAAAAATATTTTTTTTTATCTAAAAACTTGACTAAACACCTTAATTTTTTGGTCAAAAGTGCTTTGGGCCAAAAAAGTATTTTTGGCCCAAAACAAAGGTCGGCCAAACCGGCCATAGATAATGCTGAAGCCTGAAATTCAAAAAGGAGAAAAAAAAAATTCAAATGCGGAGGAGGAATAGGAGACATCACAAATTCCTTACAAATTGAGGAAAGAATGTTGTCACTTTGAAAAGAATCAGGTGATAAAATGCTGGGTAAAATATGTTGATCATTGCAAATTCTAAACATTAGCATTATTATATTATTTTAATGTTAAAGTTTGAATTAAAAGATGGACTTAGCAGCAATATTAACAAATTCCCATTAGCTGAATGCACTTTTCGTAATTAAGGACATTATTGGTACTTCAAGACTAATCTTCGAAGGTCAAATAAGACTTAAAATAGGGGCATTTGTAAGCATTTAAAATTTATCGGATTTAAATTAATAAAATAATTTGGATCATATAAATTCAAGATATTAGTCCAAATAAATATTGTGGCTACTAAATTGGACTAATTATTTAAATTTAATATATATGTGTTGGGCTAGTCCATTAAATGAGACTACAAATTAAATGATAAGCACACTTCATTAGCCCAAGGTCCAAATGGCTATTAGCCCATCTTAAAGCCTAGACTCATGCCACGTGTCAAGTGATGTGGCAATCCAAGTCAAAAGAACGAGCCAATAAAATTATGCGACGTGTCAAGTGACATGGCAATCCTAGCCAAATAAATGAGCCGATCAAATCATGCCAAGTGTCTAGATAGTATTGGTCAGTTCAAACGGACCAATCAAATCGCAGAGCCACACCACTCCCTACAACTATAAATAGAGTTTTTCATAAAGTTAGAAGACATCAGAAGTGATAATAAGAAGTAAGCAGAGAGCTCGTGGATCAAACACCGCAGATTTCTCTACAAGCTACAAGTTCAAGCACTCAAACTACAAGTTCAAGTTCAAGTTCAAGTTCAAGATCAAGAACGAAGGCAAATCAAATACCAAGGCGTTCAAGATCAAATTACTTGTTCGTGATCAAATCCAAATCCAAGTTCAAGAAAGAGATTCAAGACCAAACTTTACAAGCCCTTGAATCAAAATCAAAGTCAAGCTCATTAAGATACTTTACATTCTTGAAGAATTAGAGGAATACCATAGAGATTGTAACACTCATCTTCTATTGAAATCAAATACTATATTTGTCACGCAATTTTTCCGTCTTGATTATTTATTTTTTTCGACGCGAAAATTTGATGTTACAGTCACATTTCTACAATTGAAAATAATTCAACTTTAAATTCTTTATTTTACCCTTAATGAGAAACTTTTATAACCACACAAATGTCATGACCATATAAAGCTTTTACACCTTAAGCTTTTAAGATCACAAGTTTTAATTTTTTTTTTATAAATTTCGTTGTGATTCAATATACCTCATCTAATTTGAAACGGATGGAGTATAAATTTATCAAGGACTATTCCTTTATAATGGATATGCTTTTATGAAGAATTTGCGCTTCCACGCCCCACTCCACCAAACCGACATCGTGTGGTGCTAATGATTTCATTTAGAATATAAGGTTCTGAAAAGTAACGTCAAGAAACAAAGTGCTAGCAATGAAATGGTTCAAAAATGAATTACTCCCATTTGATTAGTTCATTTTTTTTAATTCTTTTTTATTCTTTTTTATTTGATTAGTTCATGCTTCAAGCGCCAAAGAGCGTACTTCGTTTTTCTTTTTCATTTTTTTTCCTCTGTAGATAAAGACGTAAGAACTGATTAAATTTCTTTTATTTATTTTTTTGTCTGGCTTTGAAGTGATGACAAAAATAGAGAAAATGATAAAAATAATCCCTCATGGTTGGGGTAGGTCTAAAATAATCCTCTGGATGTACCGTCGAGCAAGTTGATTCTTTAAGTTTGTAAAAAAATAGCATTTTTTTTTTTATTTTCAACAATAATTTAACAAAGTCTGGTTGTTAAATTTAATAAGAACTGTGCAAAAGAAAAGATTCAACAAAAAATATTAGAAAAATCCTGTCAAATCCCATAAATTACAAAACCAAAAACTGCACCAAGCACAAAAGAAATTAAAAATTGCAGAAATTGTACCTTAAAAACTGCACCAAATACTGTAGATAGACCAAAAATGATAAAAATTCTTCAAATGCGAGTTCCTTTTAAATCTTCATTTTTTACGGTCCTTATTAAATCCAACAATCAAAATTAATAAAATATTTAACGAATATTAAAAAGGCTAACTTTTGACAAATTAAAAAGATAAAATTGCCCCTGGAAAATTAAGTGACTATTTAAATGTACCCAAGGACCATTTTTGTCATTTTATCGAGAGGAATAATAGTCTCTCCATAAAAAAAGATACAGTCATGCCCGAGAGCGTGGTAGGTGGGGTATAGAGACGCTTGAAAGCAGTCCTTTTTGATTTCTAAGCATATATATATA